GTTCTGTGGCGAGCACCGCCCACCCATAGCACGCCCCGTCCATCACGGGTGTGACTCCCTCAATTCATCTGCCAACTGACTGCTTATTGTCTCCCACAATTTCCCCTCTCCGGGATCTTCTAGAACCGAACTACGAATTTTTGAAAGTTCTGTAGCGAGCACCGCCCACCTATAGCACGCCCCGTCCATCACGGGTGTGACTCCCTCATTTCATCCGCCAACTGACTGCTTATCCTTACCCACAATTTCGGCTCATCGCGGGATGGTTCTAAGCCAACCGGACTAAACGAATTTTTTGAAATATGTAGCTCACAACTGTGCGCACGCCCCGCCCACAGTGGGCGGGGCTTAGCTCGGTTCACGTGTGTTCCGTACATCTTGGCCCATGCCCTACCCAACCCACCCTTGACCCGTCCCTTCTAGCTGGCTCTTCAGGTGATTCCGAATTTCCGGACAGACAGACAGACAGACAAACAAACAGACAAACAGACAAAAGTCCGGTTTATCTATTATATCATCTGATAGGAAACTTCTCGTAGTATAAGAATATCAAAAAAGCTTTGGTTGAGGATATAGTTTTTGTGAATTTTTTAGTCGTTGAAGTTGGAAGTGAAGTCGGCGAAAATTAGCATCTTACGACAAGCTGCCCTCTATTTACGTCTACACGAAGTGCTAAAATCGCTTAAGCTGCTCCATACATTCAGAAATTGAGGTAGAAGTCTCAGCAAGGGAATCTCAATAGGACGCTTTGGAACTAATTTCAAGAATTTCAAAGTTGGCAACCTTCACCTTGCCAATATTGGGCAGGCTCACGTCTGTTCCACCTGAAATTTCATGCTAATAGTTGAATTAATTGAATTTGAATTTTGATATTCTAATACTACGAGAATTTGCTATTAAACGATAGCATATTAAGCTTGCTTGCAAAACGTTTTACTTTTGGAACAAATTTTTCGATTGAAAAAAACGGCCATTACTTATTAGCCAGCCCACTGCTAGTGGGCTGGCTAATAACTGCTAGTGGGCTGGCTAATAAGTAATGGCCGTTTTTTCAATTGAAAAATTTGTTTCAAAAGTGAAAAGTTTTGCAAGCAAGCTTAACATCGTTTAATAGCAAACTTCTCGTAGTATTAGAATATCAAATTCAAATTCAATTAATTCAACTATTAGCATGAAATTTCTAAATAGAGGCAGTTGTCGAAGATGCTAATTTTCGCCGACTTCACTTCCAACTTCAACGACTAAAAAATTCACAAAAACTATATCCTCAACCAAAGCTTTTTTGATATTCTTATACTACGAGAAGTTTCCTATCAGATGATATATAACTTGCTTGCAAAACTTTTCACTTTTCGAACAAATTTTCAATTGAAAAAACGGCCATTACTTATTAGCCGAACCTAATAAATTCATTGCGAACAACCAAAGGTATTACCTGCTGTGCAGGAAACCTGCCACATTATATGCAGGTGTCAACTCCATCTCCTGATACTGAAGGGAGGGCTCACAGTGAAAGATGATCGTTTGGGTGAAATCATTCAACCACTGTGTCTCCCTAATTGGTGCAGATCTCCTCTGCCATCTCAGTGGCAGCGACACACCAATAAGGTAGCCTTCATACTTCGCGACAGCGAAGTGTGAACGCTGCCTAAGAGTCGTAGAACGTTCCAAGAAGCCCAAGCCACATGACCTCCGCGGGCTGTGCCTTAGAGTTTACTTTTGGCTTCTGTTACAAGTCTAACTATTAGGTGTTCGAAAAGTCCTGGCGACCTTTGTTTGAACTATTCTACGAGAAAACCAAAAATTCAATTTGAATCTCTGAATTAGTGGAGACTGTCTCCTGAGGTTTCTGAAAATGGGTATATCATGGCTCCGTGGAAGTTTTCAAAGCTTAAAAATACCTCAGAGATGGAGGTACTTTTCGACCTATCCCATATTATGAGTTCCTGTAGTGCAACTCCGCCATAGTCGAGGAAGCTAACACCTACGTTGTCTTGAGGAAGGATATCGCTTGCCATGGCAGAGGGTAGCTTTTGCATCAGCGCTTCCAGGCTGGACTTATTTAACTCGAAGTAGGCAATGTATAGGTCGGCCACCAGCACAGAATGAAGGTCCCCCCCGTTTTATCTCAAGCTTCTTGATGCGGAGCCGACAGGCCGTTTAACTCAACGATTGCTTGAATGCGCAGTCCGAGTGTACCACACACCAAGTTGGGCATACCTCCCTAGGCTCTACCTAACTGATAACAGCCATGCTTCTCCCGCTATCTCGGTTATCGGAAAAAATTTTTGTGAAGGATGCCTCATGAGTTGGACCCGTCTGACAAGTCATACCGAATGACCGTGACTGAGTTTTTTTTTCCTTGTACACACTGGAGGAACATTTGTGAGATCTTGTGGTTGGTAGAGAGTGGTGGGGTCCTTGCGTACATCTTGCACATGTTCCTCGCAGGATCTCTCAAAACAGAAAAGTAGATGGCTCAGCCAAAAGCAGATGTGCATGGGATAAAGATTTCAGTAGGTTATTGGTGGGACTTCAAAGCGGTATCTCCGGCTACTAGCACAACTGTAAGGACCACAGTCCACTCTAACCAACCTCACAACATGGATGACGTCACGCTTGAATTCTTCAAAAACACTCAATTTTTCTCTAGTCGCGCTCGTCAATGAGAAGACTGTGGATGGTGAAGATGTTAGGATCAGGCCACACCAAAAGATCGTGGATCTTGATCTGAGAATACGATGCCATACCCAGCTATTCATCAAAGTTAGCAGTCTCTAACTACTACCTTTTTTGATCCCTACCGCATCCTTAAGAAGGCAAAAATTCCGAAAATCGACGTCTACTCAAAAATGAGGTCCACCTCTTCTTCTTATCATAGTTGCCGTAGTTCTATAAGAATGGAAATGAGAAGCTGTGCAAAAGAAGGGCACTAGTCCTAGTCCTTAGTGGTGATTACCTTGTAGATTGGAGATGTCTTTTAGTGACTGAAAATTTAGTCCGAAAAATTGGTCAAAGTGTCGCAGGACTTTTCGAACAAATTAAAATGGAAACATTACTCGCGTCCGAAATAATCCCATACTGATTGATTCTCGGTCGAGATTCCCAGAAAGAGTTACAGAAGACGATCGAATACAATGAACATTCATTAAAAGTATTTCACAGTGCAGCAAAAAAAGGTTTTCACAGTTATCTTCAATGGCAGTTCAAGCCTGAGTCAGCATTTAGCTATCTATACAAAGCTGGAGGTAGTAATCATGAGAAGACGCACTATGAGTGTCTGTACACCTCTATTTACAAATTAAAGATGATCAGATTGGTTTTCACAAGCATTTCAGATTTCGTTGTCGAACCCTGTTGATCAACTCATCGAAGTTCTTGTCAGTAAATTTGTGCTGTAGGTCTTTCGCGATGGCTTCCAATGTATAGTCGTTGATCGTCACTGCATTTTCAACGTGGCCCTGAAATGGCAAAATGAGCAAGATGAACTCATTCTTTTAACCTCGAGGTGCTAACAGACACTACTGTGGAAAGAAGCAGGCAGAAAAATGGACCCAGGCGAACGCTTGTAATTAGTTTCAGCACCATGGACGTCGTACAACGTCTGCCTCATAGGTAGAGGTCTTAGTGAAGGCAATGTACATAAATGCCTCAAGACGGGTAGGATTGCATTACGTCTAGCAGTAACGGAATTCGTGGGGCCCTGAACACGGCGCTGACGAAAGCGTCATTTCCAACGGACGGTGCCTTATAGGGCGCCCGCGTCACGTCTTTCAACATGCCGACCAGCCAACGCCACTAAATTGGGGCGACGATGTAATGCTCGTATGCTTGCATCTTGCGTAGGTCTGAAGCGGGGTGGGGGAGGTTTCAACAGTAATTCCACTGCTTTGATACGCAAAAAAAAGAAAGCAGCAGAGCCCGAAAAAAAAGAAGTTAAAAGAAGCACATTCCCAAACGCTCCGTCTAATACAACTGCTCTGGCATATGATTTCCCTACTGCGACGGGCCATTCGAAAATAGTGACAGATGGTGACAGTAATGAAAAGGACTTCCGTCTAAAGCTAAAGGGGTTGGGAGGGGGGAGGGGGAAGGAGAAGCACGGCAATTCCAGTCGGAGACGTTAGTCTTGTTTTCTTGCAGCACTTCAAATGCCTCCTCATAGTTATTGGCACGGAGGGCACTCTGTTGCACATTTCTAAGGTGGATAAATTAATCTGAACGATTCTCACACGGTATGAACTCGTCCGACCACGCCCTGTCATCGCCTTACGCACGAACAAGCTCGGTTCGGCAAGGAGTTACATGTATATGGGACATTTTAGATGATTTTTTCTGCTTTTTTCCATCACTACTGGTCACATACCTCTGTTTCATTATTATTTGAGCCGCTGAACTCGACTTTACTGAATGCCTTAAACAGTATTTTGTAAAAAGAGAGATAAGATGAGCTTTGACAACTAACCGTGTAAGATACAGAATAGATTTCGTAACCCATTGCAACAGCTTCCTTAGCCGCTTGCTCTGGTTCAGGTCCCTTGTTACTCCAGCCATCAGTGAATATCACCATCACCTTCAAACCAGCGAGGATTAATCGGTACATAAAGATATGCGAAGTCTATGGGATGAATACCTTCGTAGCGATGCCTGGCCTTGCTCCTTCCCTTTCGTTGGCTTGTTTGGCGCCCTCTCTTATTGCTTCACCTGGAATCACCTGGACTTCCTATGAATAGTAAGCTTTCCTGACTCTAACTCCGATTTTTTTTGAATTCCATTGCTTATTGATGGCTGTTATGTGAAACATGGGAGTTTTTTTTGGGGGGGAGGGAAGTGGAAGCAGGACGCCATCGTTGTGATCATCACAAGGGGGGGGTCGTATTTGACCGCGAGGGAGGGGGGGGGTCGTATTTGGTCAGAGAAAATTTTTTTGATAGTTGATTTCTCTTGTTTCACGGACGCTGTAAAGGGGGGGGTCGTACTTGGTCATTTTTGGGAGGGGGGGGTATTTGGTCAGTTCACGGACGCACTACTATTTCCGACACTTGAAAATGATAGTTTAAG